ATGGGGGAACATTATTGTACACTTTATCCTCCTACGGAACCTGCATCGCATGCATGGATGTACCATGGCATCTGTGAGAGACTCATGAATCTCCCGTGGGGACTACAGAACCTACATCTGCCGCCCATGGGTGTGATTGAATTGTACATGGGTCTGCCATGGGTACTCATGGTATACCCGCTGCCCCCGGTGGCAGCTGCATATCATTTGCAGCTCCCCATGAGGATTATAATATTTACATGTATCCCCCATGGGACCTGTAGTCTGTGTATTGTTGCCCCACAGGTGCAGCATTATATTCATGGGCCTCCCATGGGGGCTACAACATACCCATGGATCTCCCGTACCAACCGTAAATACTCAATTAGTTACCCGTGGAAGCTGTATGGTTTACATGCATCTGCCATGGGACCTGTAGTCTGTGTATTGTTGCCCCATGGGTGCAGCATTACGCACATGGGTCCCCCATGGACGCTATGGCATATTCACCCTTCCTTCATAGAGCCTTTCCTCATTGTAAGTGCTGGAGCAGGACAAGGGTTTCTTTGTAGTAAAGCCTAAGGTGCATTGATACAAGTCTAGAAATTATGCAAGCCCTAGTTTTTCGATTAAACAAATGCCCCATGGGAGGTAGCTCTCATATGGTGTGTTACCCATCAACATCCCATGGGCAATGAAGGTTTGCACCATTTGCAGTGACCACCCTTGGGGGAATCATTCAATATTTAACTAGGCCCATTGTCCTACCATGGACTAAATTGCGATAAAATGAGACCCTTTTAAACCCCATGGGCAAACCAACAAATGTGAACCACTCAATACATCACCCCAACGATACTACAGCTTGATGTATATTACACAGCTGGGCAGATGTTGGGCCCGTGGGCAGTCCTACTCCACCACGGGGGATGGACAATTATACCATTAATATGATATATCCTCCCATGGGCGCTAAAACATCTTGATATTGGTACTAAACTACAAGTATCACCTTAGGCATGCGGCCTAATTTACAACCGGGTTTGGTAAATGCCCATGGGGTCTAGGATTTGTGTGTATTATCATGGAGCGAACATATTACTACTATATTAGCTAAAACGTGAACGTTTTGAAGGCGTTGATGGCCCAGCTGATGACATCAAGTATGTGCTATCAAACGCATCATCCATCCCCAGAGTTTCATCCACTTCCAAATGCCTGTACTGATCTGCCAATCCAACTTCTTCTGCCTCCATGGCTAGCTCCGCTAATGCATCATCTTCGACAATTTCTTCCTCCCAATCTTCCTCGTCTTCAATGCCACCGTCTCCGGAGGTATTTAACAGTGATGAACTCTGGTAAAATTCACGCGCGTCCTCCAACTCGGCATCTGACGGGCCCCAAGGGGATACCGGCCAAGCCACCGGTATTGATTCTACTTTAGTTTTCCAAACATAAATCATTACGGCTAATTTCCTCCTTGCCGCGCGAGCGTGAAACGCCAAGGTTTCATCTATGAACTATAAAGTGCCGACTCGGCAGAGAGTAATGACGACGAACCTTGATTATTAGTGACATTCACTAGTGCGTCCCACGTCCCTCTACTCCACTCTTGAAGACGGGTGCGTTCAGCGCGGACCCTGGCCTTCTCCTCTTCGCATCTATCAAAGGTTAGCACGTGTCGGATCCCAATCCGTATGTTGCTGTCTGACATCCAGCGAGCGGCGTTAGTAGACGACTCGTCGAGTCCCACGTCGTCCCAGATGTTGTCATCTACGTCTAAAGCAAAGATCCCGTCGCAATCAATTTTGAGAGGAAGCACGACAGACGACAGCTTTGGAGTCGTCCGCTTGATGCCCGCCAGCTGCACGACTAGGTTATTGTACCGCGTCACAAGTTGAGTTATCGTTGGCTCGCGTCGCTTGAGGGAGTCAGTCGTATGCTCTTGCAAGCGTTCCTCTGATGCACGCCGATGAGAAAATATCAATCTCTTTAACGCAAGCACACACCGTTCCGCGTCTGCCTATACACTCGCTCGAGCCTAGACAACTCGAACTTGCGTTGCCTTAGCTTGTCTCGCAGTTGCCGTTTGACAGCGAGCGCCTTCAGACGCCCCACGAAGTATTCGTCCGACTGGAGCCTGCTAAGAGTTTGCTTATCGACGCCCATGCTTGCCTTTGCTGAATTGACTGCAACTTGTAGACGCGCGCAACGTGCTTCCGTCTCCTCTAGCTTCAACGCTTCGTCAGCACTGAAGACGTTACGCCGGGACGAAGACTTCCGTTTTTCCCGAGCAAGTTCTTCCTTAGCCTCTTCATGGGAGCGTTCTAAGGATATATAGTGTGCGAGCTTTTGCTGCGCGCGTTTGGTGGATTGACCTAAGGACGAATGAGATACTTGTCAGTCACTATCGTATGCAAGGTACTGACGTTCAAGAGGCCTCGTTTGGTAGTCGACCTGCTCTTTCCACAATCCACGCAGCTCTTCCTTCGACGCACCTAGATTACTGAGACCTACACTAGCTTCTGTGAGTCGTTGACATGTTGTCTGCCAGCGTCGGAACAGCCAGGATCCAAGGGATTCCCTTGATTTGCAGTCCAGGAAAGTTATTTGAACATCGAGAGCGAATAGTCGTTGATGAAACTACCAGAAGCCATCAACAACTCGAGCACCGTGAAAACAAATACAGAAAAATCGCCCACATACACCGGACACGCGTAACGTAGGAATCAAGGCTTTAAGCGCACTCCAGAGGCGCTCGCAGCCCTCTCCGTCGGAGAATCCAAAACCTACACACTTCCGCGGATGATACACAATTTGACATGGCCACTGATGGCCGTAAGCGTGGAACACCGAAATAGCGAATATGATACGAGGGAGTAAATCAGGGATGAGGTCCCACTTGTTGCAGCTACGATCTAGCTGGCACCCC